ATTAGACTATATCAACTAATAGAACGTCTGGAAAACAATTGTCATATTTCTGGCTTGGTACAGACATTTTTCGAAGAAAATTATGGATTAACCTAGTTAAATAGCTAGCTAAACCTCCCACTTGTATGACAGTTGTCTATAAATGTAGATTTGTTTCATTTTCATGAGTTACATGACAAAATAAAGTACAAAGATCGACATATAACTTTTAACTATTTTACTTTTATTATATGTAACCACTCGTATTACAATCATTGCATCTAGTACACAAATGAACAATATGTAACGGTTCTAAGATAATACTGAATAAGAGATAAACAAACAAAAAAAATAGCATAAACATCATTAGAATATGTCCTAACCAAGACTGCCCGGGATGTATAAATAGGCAGCCAGATCAAATCAGAATGGGAACAATAATTGTGATGCCTCTTGAAGGAGGGTGTTGCGCTATCTGCATGTTCAAGAACCCTTACAACAACTCTTTGAGGGGTTCGTAGGTAGTTGGTTGCAAGATAAAGTGTTTACCCTTGAAACTATATGTTTTAAAGCAACAACAATCAAGCAAGCTTCATACTTCCAAACACTCCGATATCAATCAATGCAATATGTTAATGGTTTTTACATCAAGAGGATAGGTATTATGAATTCGGCCTGAAAAATTTAAACAAATTTGATGAAAAAAAAATTTAGCCTTTAATCTTTCCTTTTGGTTTTTAAACTTAATGGTAAAGGTTAAAACATACCGTTGTTATTCAATCATTGTTTTTTTTCATTTTTGGGACAAACACCAATTAGGAAATTATAAGTTCAGCGCATGACAAAAAAGTTTTTATTTTCTTTCTGTGACTGAAACCTTGTACATATTTATTCTGGGAATTTGCACGCGATCTTGTCTTTCTGTATGATTTTTGATATTGCTGCATGATATCTACTCTGAAGTCCAACCACCGATATTAAAGTGTAGAAAGACATTAGTTTAGTTTAAACATATTTTATTTGCTCAAAGCAAAAAGGATTAGACACAAGTAAAACATACTTTCCACAATAAAATATATATAACAATACAAATTGAATATGAGCATGCATTATATGATATAAACAACATAAATATTATTAACCTATACTGAAAAAAGGAAAGGGAATAAAGAAGGAACGACAGAGATTAGGATTATGATGATAATGATGATGATGTGCGTTTTACCTATGTTGATAGTATACTACGAGGAATCTTTTTGATCTCTTTATAAAATTTAAAACTTGTTAAACAATTTGCACATTTTGATCATAGAAAAGAGTTTCTTTTCCACAAACCAATAGTTTTATTTCCAAATTGCAGCCTTGGGGAAGCCAGCTGAGACTATTAAACAGAATAGCCCGTTTATTTAAATAGAAAGGACAATCAAAGAAAAAAATGGTTCATGTCCTCAATATCCAATCCTTATTTACATGTTGGATCAGATATAATGTTAGCTCAAAACAAGTCACAATTTAAGAAAGACGCCGAACATCTAAATTGGGTTTTTAAGATTATATTCAATTTTCAAGGACCATATAAATAATGTTGAGATTGATTCTTATTTTTTGAAATCTATTTTGAATTTTGATAATGAGTCTACATTTCGAACAGACATGTTCAGATTTTTCCAAAGTTTAATTGATGAGGGGATAAATGAGTTGGAAGTCAGTGTCAGCCTGCAAAATGGTAAAATGATATCTTGTCCATTTCGCAAGGGATATTGTGTTTTACTTTGAATTTTAGGGGGGGGGGGGGGGGACAAGACTACATAAATATTCAGGGGCATTATTATTCTGAATTTTATAAAACAATTGTAGTTTTCTTCATTTTCTGAATTCTTCTAAAGTTTCCCAACCAAAATCTTTTAGGACAGTCTCAGAACCTGTTACAATTCTTGCAGCTTCAAGTTGAAGTTCTAATTTAATTGAATACCCTTAACCACAATTGTCCCATACTTCAGTTGCATATTCAAAAATTGGTCTAACAAGTACAAGATTTAATTTTTCCAAATTGGGTCAGCTAAGTTGATATTTAAGTTTTCGCAGTACATTCAGATGCTTTTTGACACTATTTAATGTATTTTCAATATGATTGTTTCATTTTGCGTCACTTCTAAATGTAACCCCTTGATGTTTATGAGATCGCATTATTGGTATTTTATCATTGTTCAAAGTAAAATTAAGATATTATTGGTATTTTATCATTGTTCAAAGTAAAATTAAGATATTATTGGTATTTTATCATTGTTCAAAGTAAAATTAAGATCTTGTGTCTCATTATTTGAGAAAATCATTATCTTTGTTTTTTTCAGGATTGAAAGACAAAAGCCACTTTAATGACCATTCATCCAGCTGTCTCAGGTCACGACTAACAACTAGAGAAAGACATTCTGAGTACTTTGAGCTTGCGTTTACTAATTGGCCTCCGAATCTTGCATAACTCTGCCTCACGTCCATAAGCCTGTCCATAGTCAGGTACATCGGCAGTGGTTGACTTTTGAAATACCTTAAGGATTTTTTGTTATCTAAATAATTTGATGTTGGTGGTAAACCTTTTGTAGTAGCTGTGAAATTCATTCAAAATATTTTAGGACCAGGGGTGATTAAGAGTTTGGTATGTTACTAAGGATTTCCTACCTTGGAATAGATTACCTTAGCTGTATTTGGCAAAAATGTTCGTAATTTTTGGACAAAAATGCTCTTCAACTGCGTTCTTTATTTGGCCTTTTAAAATTTTTATTCGAGCGTCACTTAGAGTCTTTTGTAGACGAATCGCGCGTCTCCCGTACAATATTATAAGCCTGGTATCTTTGACGAGTTTTTGTATAGACATCTGCCTATTTTTGAAGATCCTACATGTATATTGACTTCTAAATGATGTCTTTTGTCGTTGTGTTACTGTCTCAATGATGTATATAAGTTTACTCAAAGTTTCTATAATTTATAATTAATGATTTGCGATCCACTTTTCAATACAGGACTTGTGGAAAGCCAAAAATCGGTTAAATAATATAAATCGGAAACGGTCGCAAAGCTTTTCCAGCTTTTTGGTGGCAAGAAACTTTGGAAAGACAACATTTCGTCTCCTCAATATCAACTAACGTCATCTTCCTAGCAAAGCTTTTCTTTCGCTAACCGTGATAGACAATCGTCATGTTTGGATGAAAAAAAAGTATATAGTCCTGGATATGCAGGAAAAATTTTCTACAAAACAAAGCAATTAAGAATAAATTTATCAATTATTGAAGCATACTCATTATATTAGAAAAGTAAATACTTTTACACTGATCTTTGAAACAAAATAACTTGTGGTTTTGACTGTACCTTATACCATCCGAAGAGTTAACTGTGTTAATGAAAAGGACAGTATTTTTAGCAATGGTTTGGCGGTTAAATGTTTTGTAATTCATGTCACTTTAATTTTAGGATTTTTATTAATACTATCTAATCTTTTTCATTAAACCACTATTATAAGGCAACCACTTTATAACTTATCACTCCTGAAAATATGCAGTTCAAATATGAAAAAGATTGCACTGTGTTGGAGACAGGATCGTTTCCTTTAGGCCGCTTTATGGTGCTATATATTCCTTCTGGCTGATAGTTTTCAGAGTTTTGTCGTATTTTCCATGCATAGCTGTCTTTGTTTTTTTTGTGGTGTACACTTTTTGTCGTTTCCGTCATACCACAACTTCTTGACATCTAGGATTGGTTTTTTATTCTTCTTACTCTACATTTAAAGTTTTACTCCATTCAAATTTATTTCCTGAGATCATGAGTATGAAAATGTAAATTTTCACTAGTAATCAATAGATTACTTAACTCTCATGTTAAAGACCAGAAACAAACGACCTACAGAGTAACGCTCAATTCAGAATATCTGTTCCCAGTCCATATCATTCGTTAATCGCATATCGTTTCAAAATTTCCTACAGGATTTTTTTTATAATTAAGCCAAATAATATCAACCGCTTTTTAAAATTTTGATTTTAAGGGATTTAACTAAAATGCGCATTTCTTTTGTTCCAATACGTTAAATCTGTTTTTCCAGTAAAGCTTACTTTAATATTAATCTGTTTCAGAAATAATAACAAGTTTGGTTTGATTTGACAAAATGAAATTCAAGAGGGATGGTAAAATATTTGGACCTATAGTAGCTATCCCGTTGGCTATTTGCCAATTGAAATTTGTTTTTCAAATTTTGAATATTTAACCTTGCAAATGCAGTATAAGTGAATCATTTTACAACTTGGACAATCAGACTCATTTTCAAGTATGAATTCATCTCTTTTCATTTTAATTTAATATAAACAAATATTTGCAGAGGCCCTGTATTAGTAAAAAAAAACCCATGATGAGAGCTAAAACTTTGGCTGTTCGACTGTTTGAAAACGAATCAACGTCTAGTCGGCACGTTGTAAGTTGCCCCGCGCAGGAAGAGTGTCACGATCAATGTAAGTTAATAAACTCTTGAAACTGTTACAAGAGTTCTTTATCGTGGTCCATTATGAGTGATCTATTACAAGGCAAAAATTGCGCATATCAAACATAATCATGCGTTCCAGTAGCGGTTCAGGTTTCCCATTCGACCCACCTTGCAGGACATAGCTTTTTGATTTATTATTAATGAAGTATCTTTCTTGGTCCGATGAACTATTTGCCATTCAACTTTTAGCAATAATCAGTCAATCTAATTGATTAATAATCAGAAAACCATTTTCCGGATTTTGATTAAAGTAAAGAAATGATCCAGATGAAATCCGCAACAGGCAAAAATACTTCAAAGCTACATAGCCCGGATTCGAACATCATAAAATTTTCTGTTTAGTCAAACTGATAGTAAAAAATGGTTCTTTATCAAAATATATGTGAAAAGAGGGATAATATATAATTTATAAATAACGATTTCAAATGGGTTTCTAAACAAAAGGACAATCACAGTATGAATTATATGTTAGTAGATGATACAAAAAATACTATCATTATTAATTGTAAGACATTTAATGTAGATACATTTGCATTATTAGGTATTGTTTATATATAACCAAAGTACATGTAAAACATCTATAGTTTCCCTGTGTGTATAGACAGGAATGTTACAGAAAGAGGGAATAGAAATAAATACATATTATTTAATTAAAACTTTATGGGAAAGGAATTATAATTTGCGTAAATCTTCGGCAGCCATAAGTTTTATTTACGTTTCCTTGAAATTTCAATCAAAAATTAAAACCTGGATCGTTCTTTGCACTACTGGATACCCGAATTGAATAACTGTCCTTATTTTATTACTGGGTCTTGCAAATGTTCACAGAAATCTCTTTGCAAATTATCAACAAACAATCAAAACTGGACAACACAGATCAGTTATTTTTTTTTTGTATCAGCTTTAAGCACTTACAAGAAATATTACAGTTCATGTCACTTTTTAAGATATCTTCTAGGGGATTTTCTTTCAAATGTTTTAGTTTGATTTGGAAGAATTGTAATGAAGATGAAGCTCACATCCGTTATATTTTTGTTTTATAAAAGTTCATATTATTAAACATTATTCCTTATCGAAATGAATACCAACGCAAATTATATGTTTCAAATTAATTATAATCACTATCCGATGATGGAACATCGCCATCGAATTCTAGTAACTTCCAACATTCTTTTGGTACTGTACCAACCAATAAAACTTCCTGGTGACTTCGTGCATATTTGTGGAATTTTTCATTTGTCTCAATGTCACTTATTTCGTATTTTCTTCTCAACATTTTTGTTCGCAAATCAATTATTTCTACATCATCTGATAAACTACCAACGTCGATTTCAGCAATGTGCTTCATACCCCATTAAAGTCCACTTTTAAGCTTTAAATTTCTTATTTTTTCTGCGTTCGCAAGTGACGCACATGTTGAAATATACCTAGAGTATCTTCCTTTTTGACTTCCGGTTGCAACATAGGTAGCGACGTCAGTCGTCGCATCCGGTGATCTTGCTGTTAATTCCTCGGTTACATCTTCATCCTCATGAAGTAATCGGTACAACTTTGGAAGCTTTACCTGATAATCAGAACAAATAATACCAAATTAAATCAATTAACTATAAATATTCAATTGTTTCACATTTTTATGTCTTGGCATTTTAAAGCTGACTATACGAAATGAGATTTTCTCGTTGTTTGAAGGTCGTACGGTGACAATAATTGCTTACATCCACGTCATTTGAACTCTTGTTGATAGTTGTCTCATTGGCAATCATCCTCACGAAGTAAACACATCTGCTTATTTTTTTACAGAGTTAATATCAGATCAAGAAAACTTAAATCTTTAATTGAAAATTTATTGATTGGTTGGTGTTTAATGCCATTTTCAGCATTGTAGACTATTTTGTGGCGGTAAGTTTTAATTGTTGGAGGAAGCCGGAAAAAACCACCGACCCAGGGCAGGAAAACTGACAATCCTAGCAATTAAGATTGGATTCGAGCGCACCTGACACGTTGAGGGTGCGAAATTCAAGCTAGGATGATCATAAATTAAATAAATTGTAAACATTTTCATTGTTTTACTCATTGTGTCTACTTGGTTCTTTTATTAGAAGCGCAAAACCACCTTCTCTCCATATCTACGATTGATCATCTTTATATAAATAATCATGTGATTTGATATTTGCTAAGATTTGAAACAAATGCACCCTAAGGCCATTTTATATACTACAAAAATTCATTATTTTTTTAGTAAAATACCAGGCGAGACAATAAAAATAGAAATTGAAGAAAGGATCTCAACACCGTGGTCAAAAGATGAATTACTTAAAGACAAACAACGGTCCACAAAAAGCTGCAAATAAAACTATAAATGAGCAACACCAAGCCCATAAAAATTAGGGGTGAGTACATACAATTTAGTGTTTAGGAACATTAAACAGTTTTTGCTCCAAATATAGCACCCGTCATATTGCTAATGAAAACTAATAACTCCTCTAATAAGTTCACATTTTGTTATGTCATACAAGAGGAAATGAAAACGGAATTTTGGCAAATGGAACATAGCTGTGGTTGTTTTTGACGCTGAGATGCCATGAAGGCGTCCGTAAACGTTCGAATGAATGATTTAACTTTTATAATTAAGAGTCATTGGTTCAGTAGATTCGTTGCAAGCAGGAAACATAAGTCTAGAAACTTAATCCCGATAGAAAATATAAGCAGAAAATCCTTCTTAACCGTTTTATACTCAAGCTTGTCTAAATTCAGCAATCAAACATGAATCGTGACCGCCTGTACATCATAATTATTTCGTGGGGAAAATTACTGACATGTTTTAAATTCTTAAACATAAACTGACTAGAATACTGATAATACTTGCAATTGAATAAATGCACTTTCTGCTTCATCAGTTTCAGAGTAAAAGTATTGACTAATTAAAAGTTCAGCGAATGTAATCCCTTAAAGTGCTACGAAACATTTACTTTTATCTATTTTACATCGATGTACATTATTCATGTATCTAAATATGAAAAAGGAAGATATGGTGCTGGTGATGCCGATAGTGAAAGAAAAAAAAACCAATTGGTCATATTTGATATAATACAAATTATTATTTACTATGGATCATTATGTTGAATTTTTAATTTGGATACAGTAGGTTTCTCATCTAAAACAACTTTTATTATATGAAAGCAACAGTAATTGTAATGAGTATTAAGTAGTTTTGATGTGTGGTCAACATTTACCGCTTCTTTTCTCCTTTTCACAGGTTGTGTTATATTTTCCTCGTTGTTCTCTTCAGCAGCCTCAGATTTATCACAATCAGTTTTGATTTTCTTTATAACTGGTTCATCTGTCAGTGACGGTGATCGTGAATTTCTCCGCTTATTTGAGGTAATCGTCTCTCCCTTATCCTGAAAGTTTAATGTTGCAATTAATGAACGATAAGTCAAAATTTTATGTGTTAAATTGTTGCAGTTTTTACTCTCAATATGCAGTAATTATTTTAGTAAAGAAGTATGGCTATTTTTGTTTACGTAGCTATTATCCTCGTCTGAAGTAAAATGCTATGGAATTAATATAAAGTTATCCTAAATATAAAACAATATTAAAATATGGAGATGTTGTATGATTGCCAATGAGACAACTACCCATCAAAGACCAAAGGATAAATTTGTGTAAAATTACAGGTCACCATACGGCCTTCAACAATTAGTAAACCCATTCCGTATAGTGATCTCCACGTTATGATAAAGGGTGAAATAATTCGAAAGACAAAGCCAATAATATACTTTGAATTATACTACAACAATAAACAGAAACAATATTGCAAACAGCAACCGACGGCATGTTTGTGAGCGCTCAACCTTTCCTTAACCTGGGATAGTTGTGGGACAACACAAAATAAGAAGAAACTGTAAAAATCAGTTGGAAATGGCTTGAATCATCAGCTCGCTATTAAGCACAAAAAATTAGAAAAAGAAAAGACATCGATCTAAGTCTTTGCTAAATAGTTGTTAAATTTCAATCATACCACGTCTCCTGATTTCATATTTTTGCTTAATACACTTTTTTAATGTATGTTCATGTACTGTAGGTTATATTTAGTAATTTAAAACCGAAGGAATATTTCTTTTTTTTTCTCACAATTACAGTGCTGCAACGTTGACTTGCTTCACTTAAGTAGGTTACACATGAAATGTCAGGAAAATGAAATACTACTATTTTTCCTTTAGATAAGCAATTGTAATTAGCCCTTGAAAACAAATTATTATTTCCAAACATATTTTCTATGGAGCCTCTTCCTGTATTCTGACTTTTTTTTTTAATCAATCTATTTTTTTTTATATTTCCTTAAAAGCATGTTCAATTTAAAGAACAAAGTAATTACTATCAATCAGTACTTCTACTTTAATAAGCCTAGTATCTTTGATAAGTTTTTACCTCAGATTGGGTTTTCTGTATTTCGCTATCTTCAGAGCCGCTTATTACATTGCTTGTATCCATTCCCTCTAATATGCATGCAAGTGTTTTTAGTGTGGTGTTCTATTTTGTATTACAACTATAAAGTAAAAATAAAGAAACAGAAAAAAAGAGGTGGAAGGTCGAAAAGAAACCGCCAAAAGCATAGCAAAAAAATCCCAAGAAATTGGATAAGTTTTGTTCTCAACTGACCCTCGTTTTGTTAATTTCTAGATGCAAGTCAATATATGAGGCAGATTCAACTGTATCTGTGGTATCCTTTACATCAAAGTCGACGTGAAAGATGCATTTTACATAGTAACCAATCTTTGAATAGTTTAGTGAGATAGCGAAACGTGTTAAAGGCCACACCTGTATATATGAAAAGAAACAATTCGACGTATCAAAACTTTAATAATATATCGAAAAATATTTAAATCAATGGATTTCGTGAAATGTTTGTCTTCTTCAAATCTTTATATTAACAAAAATTATTACGAATAACGTTCTTACCTCATTACAATTAAAACTATAGAAGTATTACACAGTTATTAAGCGGATCACTGACTTTGGGAAAAACAATTAAATAATATAGACTCGACTGAAAACAAATTATTCATTACCAATAATTAATACAACTAATATATATATAGTGTTCGATATATATTAATTATATAATTACATAATCAGGCATGAAATGGAAAGATTTCGACTCTACTTTTCGAATGTGAAAGAAAAACTACGCCAATACATATTTTGTATGTGTACAGCTTACTGGAATTAAATAGAATACAATGGAGAACAAAAAAATGTTCCTTGTAGGAATAAAGTTTGTGACAACTGACATCAAATTACGTTGGCTAGAAAGGTAGCTAAGGCCCTATTGGTATGGTACATTATCTCCTATTATAAATGACAATTCTGAAAAAATAAGGGGATCAACATGATCAATTTATTTTAGATCTTTTCCTTTTAAAGCCCTAGAGTGTAACGTATCAGACGAGAGGGCTACATTTGTAACCAGTCGGGATTGGTATCTTCTTTGAAAGCATTCAAACAGCACTGGGACATTCATTCGATGGAACCTTGTAAGTATGAATGATCCTGTGTTGTTAATATGTAATTTAGATGTCACCAATTGTATGTCTAATTACTGGGAAATATATAAAAGGTTGTGATTTTCCTATGAAGTATAAAAATGGGTAGGGATTTTGGCATGCATCAATATATGAATTGGATTTGGTTTTTAAACCATAGACGGATGTTTGTGGCAAATGCATATAATGAGCACCTCATATATTTGTTTTGTTATATGCTCAAAATCTCCTGACTTTTTTTGTATCTCGAACCTTCTGCAGGTGCTGATCTAGAGTTCGAGGAAGGGGTTAGGCACATGTGTCAATTATTGTACTTATAATGCAAACCATAGCGAAGCGAAACATTTTAACGATTTTATGCTAAATTATATTTTTACACTTTTTGCTTGTCACATCAATTTAATTTTTCATCAGATATCTAAAACATTCTTCTTTTTAATACTTTCTGAATATTAGGTACAAATATGGTTTGTGTACAGAGAATATATCCTCTAAATATCTGCAGGTACTTTTTATACATTTCTGTCAAGTGGTGTGTCGTTAGGTCTAAATAAACTCATCAGAGGTACCAGGATTAGGATTTTGAACGCCAGACGCGAGTTTCGTTTACAATGGACTCATCACTGACACTGAATCAAAAGAGTTTAAAAGGCAAAATAACTACAAAGTTGAATAGCAGCCATAAACTATGACTCATAACAGTAAGGGAATAAATATCCAATAAGAGGAGCACAACCTATCGGAATGTATATCACTTGACGGAATACTTTATCTTCAAAACAACCATAAATATTTTTAAGCAAAATTCCGAAGTCCTTAAGCATTTTTGTTCATTTTTCAATTATTGTATTTTTGTTAGTTTCATTACTGAAAAGGGATTGTAACCACTTCAAAAGATATAACTAAATCTGAATTTATCGGAAAACATTTTTTGATAAATAGAAAATTTCTGTTTTGATAAGATTATTAGGTAGTGCATTATACGGAGTAGACAAGTTTTAACTGTCCACAGAGACGGACTGACATTCAAAGGTACGTATCTTATGAAGACCTTCAAAGAGGTCTTAAAATCAATTCAGAATAGTTAATACTAATATTACATTATGTATAAGACGTTTGTCATATTTGTTACATGTATGTTAACTTGTGCAATGTCTCCAAGAACACGTATATTTCCTTACAGAGATTGTTACTATAAAGTCGATTTAAACAGCTCATTACAGCTTGTTTTTTTTTTTGTGTTTATGAATATTTGACTAAACTGAGAAGAGGTAACTCTAGTTTATTTTAGATAGGCCCTATAATGAAATAAAGACATTCTAAGCTACTATAGAAAGATATGCTACAACATCCTTTAAAAATCAAAATTATAGTCAAAATAAGGATATAAATTCTTTACGCAAGTTTAAAAAATAGGTGCTGATTGGGAAGGAGGGCGGGAAAATCGAAAACGCAAAAATATCTTTTTGATTACAAATAATATCGATCCTCTTTCTGTCTGAATAATGTTTTAGAAAATATCTTAATATAACTGACCATTCAAAACACTTAGCTTGTATTTACATCAGAGGCCCATTAAAGGGTATCGAAAAATGTAGAAGAATTTATATGTTATTCTAATATATAAAAGGATTTCAATCGTCAACATAAAAATACTTATTAAAATAACTTGCCTATAAATGCCCGTACCAAATCAAGTATATTGTAGTTGATTTTCAATTGTTCCATTGATTGATAGCGTTAGATTTTGTCAGTTTTTATGGACTTCCCCTTTTTGAATTCGCCTTGGAGTGCAGTATTTTCGTTATATTTTTTCATGTCCTTGTATGTGTTTTTTAATGTCCAGCTTGCATGTCTATAAGAGAAACACGGCCTCCTCCTCTCACCAATTTGTTTCTTATTCGTATGAAAAAGATTTCCTAAAGTGAGATTCTCAAGAAACATTATATTTATATGAACTAGTTGAATTGGACCTTTGAATAGCTTTCTGTAATTGAGAGCACGCTTAGATCAGTACTTGGTTTGTGTTTTATCACTCTGTTATTTTGGTCTTATGTGCTTAGTACCGAATTGATGAATCGAACCGTTTTCAATAGTTTGTTTACATTGTATTCTACTGTTGTACTGTCTCTTTCACATCTAAAAATGGGGGGGGGGGGGGGAGTGAACATTCACAAATATGTTTAACTCCACCAAATGTTGTATTTGCCTGCCTTAATCCAAGTTCCTTCAGCCAGTAGAGTTGTTGTCGTTTATTATTGTCTGCATACATGTTTATGTTTATTGAATTTAGAAAAAAATCAGGTCGTTGGTTTTGTCTTATAAATTGTTTCGCATTTTGGGATCCCGTTGCCTTTTATATACTTTGCTATACAATATTTGTTTTGCTCATTTTAAAGGACGTACCTGTAGTTGTTTATATCCTCGTCCTTTGGTATCAGGTGAATAGTTGTCTCATTGACAATCATTCCACAGCTCCTTATTTTTATATTAGTATCCATTACCTTCACTTTCTGCTATAAAGATGGCTTTCACTAAAATGTTGGGTAACTATGACCCTCTATGCACTAGAAAATATATAATTTCTTTTATTGTTTCTGTTTAATTATTTCACAACTTTTTTACACCTTTTTAAGACATTAGTAAATTTAGAGCTGGACATGTTGTATTAACACATTCTAATGTTGATTTCTGTTAGCTTCCCTCTATAGGTGTCTTTCAGTAATTTTTGTCGTTGAGTTGTTGTTTCATTGACGTATTTACAACATCTTCTTTTATTGAAACATATGTATCAATCTTAATCATGTCTCTTTAAGGAATATTTTCATGGTTGAACACAAACGTAAGTGCTTACAATGTATGTCCATGTTTTCATTGTTTATTTTATTTATTTTCACACATTTGATGTTACCTTTATAAAAAATATTCTAAATCACACACAAAAGCACTCACACACTATATACATACGAGGCAATAGTAGTTAAAACATCAAATAGTGATGCCATTATACTTGATGATTACAATTTATCAAATTATAGGTTAAAACATTTTAGTCACCCAAAGGCTTTATCATATTCAAAAAATTTTTGTTTTTGTTTCCATTATTTTTATTTGATGTGTAAATGCAAAAGAGATAAATTTTGGACTCTTGTTATCCTTGACACTAATAGTCTACCACAAATTTATCCATGTTTAAACCGTCAATTTTGCATTGTTGCAATCGGGTGTTTCTTCTGGTGCTTCTTTTTTTCTACGAAAATATATTCACACTCTCCACGTCGTTAAGCACTAGGTAAACAAATGTCTACTCACGATTTTTGTTATCCCATTATCACTTTTCCTCTCACAAAATGAAAAGAAAACGACACTTTTATGTGTCTTTAATTAAGGGAGAGCAAAAAAAGAACAGTCAAATTTAAGTTTTAAAGAATGGTTTACTTTCTGTTGACTGTATACAAGTTGTCTCTTTAATGAATATGTGGAAATTGATTTATCGAAAATATAATATGATATGATAAAGTTCACACAAAAAACCACTACCAAAAATGGCAATGAAAATCAGAATGCATATTTTATAATAATGTTATACTCATAAAATCAGCTTCAAATGTGAATAACGGAAAATCAGTGAATATGTCAAAAATAAAAGTATAAATACATTAACACTTCCTATTAATCCAAATATTTTAAGAAGTTAATTTATGAAGAGAGATACATTTTGTTTAATTCAGATTGAACTTAAATTTGTTCCCTAGCATGAAAATTTAGAATGGTGACCAAATTCCATCTTTTTTTTCAAAATTGTGGAAGCATGTTATGTAATGTTCATTGTATCTACTTATTTTTATTTCAGAATTCTTTCATCTCTTTCTGCTCACATAATAAGTTTTACCCTGTAGAAAACTTAACAAATAAAACTTTGCACCACCAGTAGTTTGAAACAAGCTCAGAAATATAAATTATATTCTTTTTATCATAAGTTTGAATAATTTCAAACTGTTTTTTTTTTAAAGTGTTATATAATAAATTAGGAAATAAGAATTATCTTGATAGTTTAATGTCATATGAAGAAGTGTATAAGGTTCTGTTATCTTCGAAAAATGATAAATCGCCAGGTTGTGATGAAAATACAGTTGAACTTTATGAGAACCAAACTGCATTCTTAGTGTTAACTCGAATTTTTAATATTTGCCTTAACTCTGGTAAGATACCTGCTATATGGTCAAAAGGTATCACTACTCTGATTTAAAAAAGCTCTATTGCAGATCCTAGAGACCCTATGGCATATCGAGGAATAACTTTGGCTCCTGTATCTTATAAACTGAACTGTGGTGTACTTAATTCACGCCTAACTGTTAAACTTGATGAACTATATTGATGAGCAAAATGGTTTAAGAAAGGGACGAATAATATAAATCATATTTCTACTTAAACTACTGTAATAGAAACACATACACTACGTAAATTATTAACATATGTAGCTGATTTTAAAAAGCATATGACTGGATAAATAGAAAATTGCTATTTGGTAAACTGGAAGATTAAGGAATAAGCATTAAAATGCTAAATGCTAATTATTTACTGTATACAAATGTATATTCGTGTGTTAAATTAAATGGTAATTTTACTGATTGGTTTGAGGTTAAATGTGGTTTAAAGCTAAATGTAACGCTAATAGAGGTTTTCAATTTGATACATTTACAAAACATTTTGATACACTTGTTATGATAGTGCCTCAATTTGGGGTCACCAGGAATTTTCTTGCAGTAATGCTGTAAAAAATTAGAGCAATGAGATTTCTTATGAGTGTTGGAAAATATACCCCTAACTTGGCTTTATGGAGATATAGGTTGGATGCACTGTGTAATATCTCCGTGGACATGCATTTTAAGAATATGGTCTAGATTTACTGAAATGTCTCATTGTAGAGTAAATAAAAAGGTTTTCATATGGGGAAATACATTGTTGTAATAGTAGATTTAAAAATTGGAACCATAGAGTCCATTTGAAATTTAAAGAACCGCATATGGAGTTTTTATGTAATACTGATACTTTTACTGATAAAACATAAAATTAAACAGAATGAAAATGATAATATTTGTAGATATAGAGACAATTTTTTTTCTGACTTAATGAGCAATGAACGTAGTAAACTACGACCATACAGATTATTTAAAAAAGAATATAATACAGAAAAATATTTATGTATGAATATGTCTGGTAAATATGAAGATACATATGCAAAATTTATGTGTGGTGTTGCGCCTCTGATAATAGAAACTGGTCGTTATGAAGGTATTGTGATTGAACATATATTTTTTTTTATGAACAATGTAATGAAGATAATATTATTGAAGATAAGAAACATGTTCTACTGAATTGCTCAGTATATGCATATTTGCGTGCTATTTTATTTAGCCATACTAGCTCTAATTTTGTGAATTTGTCTGATGATGATAAATTCTGGTTTTTATTCCCTGATGAAAGTGTATGTTATTTTTTAGCCAAAATCTGCTATGAAGTGTTATTAAAAACAAAAGGTATTTTATATAATTGTAGATAATTGTGTGTTTTGTAGAAATGATTTCATAGTCTCTCAAAAATCTTTTTATAGTGTCTCATTGTTTTAAATGATATTGTGATTTTATATATATGTGTATGAATATAAGTCAATATGGAGGATGAGACTTTTATAAAGTATTTGTCTTGTCTTGTCTTGTAAATTTTGATTGCAAATTGAACACGTTCCATTATTTTCCATTCACTAAAACATCAAACTTGTTGTATACACAGAATATTATCAAATAAGTATTAAACGAATAATCCGATTAAAAGTGAAACTTTTGACAAAGAAAAGTTATGGTTAGTATAATAATTGTTGTCGCCATGATTAAAGAACTGCATATCTTTACTGATTTTGTTTATTTGTTTTTAATAATAATAATAATTGTTATTAAAAACTAAAACACAATAAGTAAAGATTTGATAACCCAAATGTAATATAAGTTTTTTTAGACAATATTAACAGCATTGTCTAGAAAACATGCATCAGTTTGGTTGTATCCAAATAAAGTTACCTCCATTATTTGTTTTTGTTTTATAAAGGTTTGCAATTGTTTTACATCATACATTATTTCTAGTTGGAACCTTTACCAGTCTGAATCTGAATTTGAATTATTGAAATCAAACCCACCAAACTCCAAATTATCAGAAAGCAGTTCATCAGAATCACTACAACTTGTGTATGATTCTGGAACAACTCCAGTGAATTTAATTAATTTTAAACATGATACTGGCACTGTACCCACCAGTAAAACTTCCTGGTGACTTTCTGCAAATTTGTGGAATTTTTCATTTATCTCGCTGTCCCCTATTTTATAATTATCTCTCAATGCTCTTGTTCTCAAATCAAAGATTTTTACATTGTCTGGTAAACTTCCAACGTCGATTTCAGCAATGTCCTTCATACCCCATTTATATCCACTGTTAAGTTTTAAATTCCTAAAAGATTCCGCTTTGTAAATTGATGAACATGTTGAAATGTACTGAGAAGAATAACCTCTTTTGCTTCCGGTTGCAACATGAGTAGCTACATTTTCCTCTGCATCTGGTGATTTTGCTGATAATCCCTTTGTTGTATCTTCATTCTCATGTAGTAATCGGTACAAATTTGGAAATTTTACCTGATAATCATAGCAAAATATACTGAGTTATTAAAATACATGCAAGCCGACAAAATTAAATCTCGACTAAATAACAAAAAAATGATAAAGTAGGTTTGTTTTAACTTGTTAAGGAAATTGCTCTTTAAACAATATATAAATACAATTACATTTCATACATTAGACGTTTCGAACGATTCCGAAATTTTGATTTACCGAGCCATTTCAAAAGTTACATTTTATTTCCTGATAAAATGCAACATCTATGACTGCCAGTGCTATCCGTGACAACGTTAAAACAATGCATTGCATCATAGAAAAACAAACAACAGGCTTAATTTAACTCGTAATTTCATGGTAATAATTATGAAATGTAATTCCGCGCTTTATAAAAAATGTGATTCGATCAACGCTTTAACATTCCAATAAAAGTGAAAAAGAAGCATTCAATTCTTAAAATAACACTTTCACACTTTTTCTCAGAAACAAACGGACTCAGAGTACACTGAATTATTTTGTTAGACATTAAACATATATCTATCTTCCCTATACAATCGACCATTTCCATATTAATAATTATTTGTTTAAAAAAAGCATATTTGGTATGATTTCCAAAGAGACAACTATCCATAGATCAAATACGGATGTGAACAATAACATGTCATTGAATATCCATTTAGACATGAAAACAACATCAACTATTGGTCAAGTAGCTCGTCAAGTCTTTGGTTTTGAACGTTCCATATGACGATAAATTAACACAACAGTCCACAAAACGCTACACAAAAAATCTAAAGATTGACCAGCACCAACCCCATTAAAATGTGATTTATTCCCTGTCGTGGGAGTATGAGCATAGTTTCCGTCCGTCTGAAATACTTTGTTAACGCAACTGTTCTGAGACCATTTGATATAAAACTTCTCTCATATTTTGATTGTTTGCCGTCATGTTCAATTGACCATTTTGTACCTCAGATACTATCAGTGCTCACCGCACACGTTACAACTTATCACTTTCAAACAGCTGACTAAATATGAAGTTATTCTGTTAAGTAGCACTTGAGAAAATTATGACAGAAATATGTGTTTGGCGTTCGGACGAGCCGACGGACGAGGGGATGCAATATAGACCCCACACCTAGAATGGGAATATTATAAATGAAAACGGTGGTGCTCTCATCTAGATTCGACCACTTACACGACTAAAGGTAGATATGATTCAATGCTAATATTTAAATATGCGTGTTTATTTGGATGTGGTAAAAATTACCGCATCTTTTCTCATTTCCACAGGTTGTGGTATATTTTCCTCGTCGTTCTCTTCTTCATTTTCAGGATTATCACAGTCAGTTTTGATTTTCTTTGGGACTGGTTCATCTGTCACTGGTGGCGATGTTGAATTTCTACGCTTTCTGAATGTATTCGTCTCTACTATTTTCTGAAAATATAATATTGATTAAAGAACGATAACTCGAAATTTAAAATGTGAAGTTAATGCGGTTTTGACTTTGTAACGTTATTTTTATTTAAAGTGTTATTGTTTGTAACGTGCATCCTGTATCCTCGCCAGAAGTAACATTGCTATAAAATATCTTTTTATTATAGAACGAGTATATTATGAAATTAAATCAACCCATCACTAGCTACGTTAACTGCCCTGTGAAGGCAAACCTGACTCGATCTGAAAAAAATTACATGGTCTTTTTTTTATTTGTTCATTCCTTTTGGATTAATCGATTTCTTTTTTATTTCCCTAAATAACCAGGTGGAAATTTAAAATTTCCTTAAATGTCCCCACCTTGAGGAAGCAAAATTAATTTAAGACCCTCCCCTCTTTCCAAAGACATTAAATATTCACCCCCCCCCCCCCCCCCCCCAAAAAAAAAAAACCAAACATTTCTCGACACTTTTATTCTTTAAAACAATAATACATGCATACAATTTCCATTTTAACTATTATCGTACAACAAAATATTGCATCGGTAGTGGATCTAGAGCTTACAGTGAGAGAAGTTGTTTGTGACTTCAGTGAACTTTATTTGGATATACATGTATACAAAAATAAGGAGATGTGGTATAATTTCCAATGAGACAGCAATCCAACAATGTGAAATGAAGTGATAGTGAGCAATAATAGGCCATCGTATGACCTTCAACTGAGTTAAAATGAAGTGGTAGTAAGGAATTATAGGCCACCGTACGGCCTTCGACAATGAGAAAACTCATATTGTATAGTCAGTTATAAAAGGGCTGACATGAAAAATGTTAAAACAATTTAAACGAGAAAACTAACGGCCTAATTTGTAACAAAACAATTTACGAAAAACAAATACATGTATGACAGACCTGAACCAACGACAACCACTGTACTACAAACTCCTGACTTGGGACAGGCACATAAAGAATGTGGCAGGGTTAAACATGTTTGTGAGCGCTCAATCCTCCCTTAACCTGGCAAAGCGGTGTTACAGCACAACAAAGAACAAACTGTAAAATTCAGATGCAGTTTGCAACTCAAAAGATTGGAGATCGGTAATAGGCACTAAAACAAAAGACACAAAGCACCGAAAAAAATAGTACTCGTGGTGGAAAGAGCATTCGTGTGAATTTTTGCATCTCGTTCCATAAAATTGTATGAATTTCATGATTATATGTACGTCACAAAATACGTCACTGTTTGTGGTGTTGATCCATTCATGTGACGAGCAGTTTGTGATGTCCTGTGCTGTCGTTAATGGGAGATGTCCGTTGTTATTCTGTGTTTTACATGTTGTAATGTACTATTTTATTATTTATTTATGCATTTCTCTGTGCTGATTGTTTTGCGTTTGTTTATATTATATTCCTGTCACGTAGTGTACTCATTTTAGCGATATTTTTTACATTGCCATATAAGCGGGAGGTTTGGCTAGCCATAAAACAAGGTTCAACCCACCATTTTTTTCTTAAAATGTCCTGTACCACGTCAGGAATATGGCAGTTGTTATCAAATAGTCCGTTTCTATGTATGTTGGCGTTTGTTTTTGTTGCAGTTCAGTGTTTCTGTTGTTCAATTGTTTTCCTCATACAGTTGATGTGTTTCCCTCGGTTTTAGTTTGTAATCCGGATTTGTTTTCTCTTAATCGATTTGTGACTTTTGAACAGCGGTATACTACTGTTGCCTTTATTTACTGAAAGCAAGTTCAATGCCAATTACAACTAATTTTATGCGACTGTCATACAAGTGAGAGGTTTAGCTAGCTATAAAACCAGGTTTAATCCACCATTTTCTACATAAGGAAATGCCTGTACCAAGTCAGGAATATGACAGTTGTTTGATGTGTTTGAGCTTTTCATTTTTACCATTCGATAAGGGACTTCCCGATTTGAATTTTCCTTGGAGCTCGGTGTTTTTGTTATTTTACATTGTAATAGGAATTCTACAGGTGCGGCCATACTTTTTAACCAAATCATTATATATATGGAAGAATTTGGTAAAGGTTTTAATTAATTTGTGGTAACGAAATCCTTGCCTTTTAATTTACCAGTTATACATACATTATGTTCATTGAAATCTAAAACCAACTACAGACACGGGCATAGCGGGCAAGTTGAGAAATATATTGTCACACCGTCAGAAGGGCCTAATGGAATAAGCCTGTTGTGTTCTCATTGACATTTACCACACCTGCATTCAATTTTAGCACATTGTTCATTTATAATATCCTTTATAAAAGAAGTTGGCAAATTAGCTTAAGATGAAAATACATTCGTGGGAGAAGATGTTGGATTGAATCATAACAATTAAGTCGAGTGGAGCGATGCAAAAAAACAATTGATGTCCTTTGTGCCAAAATATTATATTTTTTATTGTATGGGGAAAAGGTGGGTGTGGGTCGCCAAAATTTTTCGATGCCCCCTCGTCTATCTGAAGTGTTGAAAAATTGGACACCCCCTTTCCATGCCCAAAAAATATCAAGGCCAATCCTAATTTTCCTCCTACCCCTCCACTTCAGGTTACAAATGACCAATCCCTTACATTCAAAAATAAAAAAATAAAACTGGATGTTCAGCTAACAACATACAATCAATCCAATCATACGGGTAACCGACAACAAAGTAATAACTTTCAATAAGCGCTTCAAATGTTACCTCATCTTGGTTCTTCTGTATTTCGATATCTTCAGAGCAAATTGCTGGATTTCTTGCGTCCATTCCCTCTAGGTTTTATATGATTTCCTTGGTGTTGTTGTCTGTTTTAAATTACAACAGTCAATTAAAAGTATGAACAGATGTTTTCAGTCTGACTAATTTTCTACTTTTACTTTAATGTTTGGATATTTCTGTCTTTCATAAATCTTTATATGAACAATGGTTGGTACAAACAAGTTCTTACCTCATTTCAATTAAGGAAGGGATATAACAATTTTAGCAACATGAGATAAACATTTCCTTTTGCAATTTTCTGAAAATAGAATGCACTTTCGCTTTCATTTTTGACATCATGAAAGTTCATAGGATATTTTTGTCAACACAGGCTTGCCCTGTTTGATGGGATGAATGAATGACAAACAAACACATGTATGAATTGAAAACTGTCATTTATTATCAAAATGACGAAGAAGCAACAAAATGATAAACATGTATAATTAAATCAATAAATCATATTTATAAACAACATATATGTTTATAATGACAAAACCTTATTGACTCATCCCATCAAAGATGGTGTTACATTCGCCTATCAAGGATGGGATTACATTCGAATATAACACCTACATCTTGTAAAACCTATTAAAAATATGTATGTGCCTAAATAATTAAAATGTGTCAATTTCATAATAATTTCAAAATAATTCATTATTGAAATCAGTTATCCAGGGAGGGATTGAAGTATAATTTCAGTTCCCAAATTTGTCTGCCACTTTCAATCTGCAACTGAAGCGCCTTCTAAAATCAGATAACAACAGGGGAAGGAACTAACTATGTATTAAACATTTCTCCAGCATAAATTCAAAGAGTTATGCCGCTTTCTTTAGTACCGCCTAGTTTGACAAAAAAAAACTATTTAATAAAAATTAGCATATGATATGCACTAATCATTAAGGCACAACAAATAAAAAAAAAATGAAGTTTGGCAGTATTTGGCCACAGCTTTATCTTAACAAAATATAACATAAATGTATTTAGTTGTCAATCTATGTATGATCTGAAATATATTTATAGATGTCTGTATATATATAGATGTTAAAGATATTGCACATTTTAAGGTTTTTCTTGCCGTATAACACACCGATAGGTGTCAGAATTGATCAAATGAAAGACCAATCGTAGGTCCTAGATAAGGTGGGCGATCTTTAATAATATTTGTTATTAGTTGTACTGGACACACTTTTTTTATTTTTTTGACTAGAAATGCAAATTGTTGTTTCAAATTGATTGTCTGTAACGGTAAATTGTATTCAAGTTATCAATAAAATGAAATTCAGACAGATCTTTACTGAGTTTGGCCATATACTGTGATTCATAAAGTACAGGAAATAATTTTTCCTTGAACATCATACTTTAACCCTTCGTGTTATTTGCAAGTTTGACTCAATTAAATTAGCTTTATGTCATTTCAGTATCGTTTCCTAAACTCGTGACGGTGGCAATACGACCTACACATTTGGTAGGACCTTGAAAGAGGACATAATGTCATAACCCTATAATCCTTCATTTGACCATATGCTACAACATTTTCCTTTAGTGCTAGTTTCTATCGTCTTGTCAGACCCCATTTACTGTTTTACCTGCGATCGAGTATCTTCTTTACAACATTTTTTGAATTATTTAAATATTTGATTGATAATTTGAATTGGTTTACCGGTAAAATTAACTTGTAGTGAGCAAGTTCACATAACCTAAGCCCCAGTATACTGGGAAAAGCTTATAGTGACCTGATGGCATAGTTGTTTTACTGTTTATTCTTAAGTATATAATATGAAAAGATGTATTTAGTCTGAATAATTTTTAGGGGATATATTTGTCTTTTATGAATCTTTGATTGTTACAAAAAGTTTCTGATATTCTGAAAATAGATTTGAGCTCACTTTTTTAACATGATGATAGTTTATTTTTATTAAAAGACATATATTCTTATTTATTTCAGATATGTATATGCAAGTATACAAAATTAAGAAATAATTCATGGAAGCTATTGATTTGTTTTACATTTTGTTATGGTCTTTGCCTTTATTTTTGAATTTCCCTATGCGTTATAAAATTAACTAACTAATCGGCCCAACATTTCAAATCTCTTAAATCGAGTAAGACGATACAAATTAAGGCAACACACAAAAACTAAGGGAATCGCATGAACGCAAGCGTCGACAGGATACGGATCTCTTGTCGTGCGAATCTACACGCAGCCAAATGTCACAATCGGTACATTACAGATCCGACGAGTATTCAGCTACCTGAAGATCTGTTACCGCGAAAACATGAATCTAGTGAGTTGAAAGACAAACATATCGTATCGGTCAATTAACTCGTGGTGGTGACTGTAAAACTTGTATATATATATATATATATATATATATGTTTTGTATATGAAGTGTCGATTTCAGTCGTTCTTCGTTATAACTCTGTTCGATAAGTTTTTGTGTAAGAAACACACCATCCTTAATGCAGTATAGTGCAAACATCCACGAGCGTTACGTATTTATTGAGATACGCAAACGCCATACGATGAACAAACTTGTTACAGCTTTGAATTGGGAAAGAGAGGGTAAAGATACCTAAGGGACATTCAAAATCATAAGTCTAAAATAAACTGACAACATCATGGAAAAAAACAGATGAACAGTAAACAAAACACAACATAGAAAACTAAAGACTAAGCAACACGAAACCCACCAAATACGGGGTGATCTCAGCTGCTCCGGAAGGGTATAAAGATCCTGCGCCACATGTTGCACCCGTCGAGTTGCACATGTAAGTACAAACCCGGTGATAAATCTAATTCGGTAGGTTACATTCGGGGAAAAGAAGGACGGGATTGTGATTACGACGATTGGAACATATCCGTCGTCATCTGTGAAATAGATATTCCACAACGGTCAACAAACTTGTGATGGCGTCCGTAAAATTTTCGAAGATATGATTTCAATTTCACCACATGGAACTCTTGGCTTAATAGCTTTCTTATAAGCAGCAACTCTCTATCAAGAAAATCATGATAGGAAACGCAAGCCCTGGAATATTGTTTCAACTGAGAGATATATACTCCATATGCAGGCGTTCGATGGGATAGATGAAGTCAACAGTCATCAAACTTTGAATTATTTAGTGAGAGGACATCATCTATATAGCGGAAAGTGAAGGAAGGGGATAATGCTAGTATATTTTCATTCTCTTTAAGAAAAAATGAAAATAGCAAAAATACCGAACTCCAAGGAAAATTCAAAACGGAAAGTCCTTTATCAAATGGCTAGATCAAAAGCTCTAACACATCAAACGAATGGAAAACAACTGTCATATTCCTGACTTGGTACAGGTATTCTTTATGTAAAAAATTTAAGAAGATCCTATATGAAGACAGCCTCATATGAATAAAGGAACAAATCGACAAGAGGAGGAGCACAGTTGGTTCCCATGGGAATGCTGATTGTTTGTTGAAAAACATGTCCTCCAAACGTAAGAAATATGTTGTCAATCAAGAAATCTAGCATCTTGATAATATCAGTTTCAGAGAATGTTTTGTTTGAATCAGAGTGATTTTTTACAAAGTATGATTTATCCCTTTCTAAGACAAGATACTTGTATCTTGCGAAGTTCACAATTGAAAAGTTGAAATCAGCACGTTAATCATAGTTCTAGTTTCATGCCGTCCATCTGTACAAACACCGAGGAAAAGATTAGATATGATACAGACCTTACAGTTCCAATATTATCTTTAATACTAGTAACAAAAAAGTAAAACAAAATCGCCGAACTCTAAGGTAAATTCAAAAAAGGGAAGTCAATTAAAACTGACAAAATCAAACGTTATCAATCAACGGAACGAGTGAAAAACAATTGTCATATTTCGGACTTGGTACAGGCATTTTCCGAAGAAATTGGTCGGTTAAATGATAGCTAGCTAAACCTCTCACTTGTATGAAAGTTGTTTATTGTTCCGTTATATTGACAAAATTGGGTGAGCAACCCCAACAGACAATTTTAATTGTAGAATATATATAATTTATAATCTATCAATTGACATACTGGGGTATATGTGATGCAAGCACTCACTGAAATGTGGGTTATTGAGTGATATGACATCAGCATTATATCTGAAAGTGAAATTCAACAACTTCTTTTTTTTGCGAAGGTTCTATATGAATTCTACTTCATATAAGGGTGCACAATTAATACACTTTGGAACTATTTTTAAAGTATATGCAGAGAATTTGATTGCTGGTTTATATAGGTACTTATAATGATTGGGTTGTTTATGCATTTGATGACCATTCAATTCTTCCTGGTTTTCATAGATTAAGAGTTGTTGATTTTGTGCAGAGTAACAGGGTCTTCAATCAGTCAGCCAGTTGTCATGAGCAATAATTTTTGCACCTCCTTGAATTATCAACATCGCAATTTTTTTTATATGAAACCTAGTTACGTTCTGGTGAGATTAGTACCCCAAATCAGAGTAATTCCGAGGTCAAAGTTGACTATAATATCAATTTGGTCCAAAATATTGTAGATTCAGTAGATTCAAGAAGCACCAATGCATGTTTGTCCAATCAATTCAAAGTTCGAACATTAATGCTCAAAATGTGATAGTGCACACCCATCTTCCAGATATAAACATTAAAAACAGAATCATATAAGCTAGAAACTTTGTCTATAAACGTTTCTGAGGCATAAAAAAATATTTGTTGAATAATGCATGCCGAGACCAGATATCCTTTGACTAGTAGACATTCTGAAAGTGATTAAAAGAATCCAAAGGCGGTTACGAAAAGATTAATTAAAAAAATATTGAGCTTTGGCTTACTTCAACACCTACCTTCCCTAGAGTTTGCTGTTCCTCCCTTGCATTAATACACAAAGACCTAAAGGGGAATTCCGATCAGCTTAAAATCTATCATCCCCATCTCATACCCAATGATTTCATCTGCAGACAATTTGCTCTGTGCGTTATGCAGGTATAACGATGCCGTCTTTTTGATAGAAAAACTAGAAAGTCGGGGTTCGCATGCATAAGCTGATGTGAATATAAACATCAGAAGATTTGATACGATTGCTATTGAGACAACATTCCACCATAGAAGTAAGCAACTACAGATCACCGTGAGGCCTTCAATATTGAGCAAAACCCAAACAACATAGTAAGCTATTAAAGGCCCTGATATGAAAAATTTAAAACAATTCAAACGAGAAAACTAGCGGCATGATCTACTACTGAGAGGCGCAAATAGTGCGTACCCTTAGGAATACCTTCAACC